TATATATACACATGTTCATTTTATTAATCCTTCCCTATAAATAAAATGTCAAATATTCAAAATTTGAATTTCTTACACTTGATGTCTCTCGATGAGAAACAAGTTTGTCCCTTCTGACAATATTTGATTGTGTGTCTTATATGCCCCCTCCCCTACAATGCATTCAATATAATGTAGAAGACTGTGTATTGGCATTGGCTATAACTCCTCGCCTATTGGTAAATGTTTAGAGTTTTTGACAGGAGATATATTTACAACAAAGTAACTTGATTGTCAATTTTATGACAAGGTATTCCCAGTCTTAGGGGGAGACAAGAATAATGAAAGACTGGTAATACAAGAAATTATATAAAATGCATCATCATTGTAAGTTTTGACTCCTGAAGTGGTCAATGTACTTTTGAAGTCTGATTTGCAAAGAAGAGCAAATGAATTACTAGATGCATTCTCATATACGAGCAGAGTGACAAAGTTACATATACCAGCATCTTATGCATCGCTCGATTTAAGGTAGTCCCAAAAGTGACTATTGTACAATGAAAGTGGGAGAATAATCGGTTCCAAAGATAAGGACCCACGAAAATGAAAATAGAAGAAAAATGCTATTAGTGAAACCACATACATGATCAGAACTGCAACCCCCGAAGAGGACATTGTCCCAGAAGAGACTAATACTATTCTAGAAGAAAACGAAACCCCAGAAGAGGTAAATGTCCTAGAAGAGACTATTATGATTCCAGAAGAATAAGTTTCCTAAAGAAACATCGGTACCGAAAGAAAATGAGATCTCTATTAATTATGTACGAGATTGTACAATATGGAACCGAAATGAAACACGTGTTAATGATATTCTTGCATATGCTATGGCAATGGATGTAATCAATAAAAGAGATTACATGCCTAAACTCAAAGAAGAGTACATGTAGATAGTACATAAATGATTTGCCAAATGGCAAAAGACCTTGAAAGTCGAATATAAGTCACTCGATAAACGAAATATTTTCGGACCTGAAGTCTGAACACCCATAGACGTCAAACCAATAGGTTATAAATGGGTGTCTGTAATAAACAGAAATAAAATGAATGAGATTGTGCGATATGTAGTACTACTTGTAAGGCAAGAGCTTTTCCCTAATCTCTGGAGTTGATTATGAGGAAATGTATTCTCCACTAGTGGATGCAATATCCTTTTAGAATTTTAATTGGCCTCGCAATCTCAAAAGGACTTCAAATAAATGATATAGATGTCGTTATAACATAATTATAAGGGACATTTGAAATCGACATCTGTGTGATAATAATCCTTGAAGGATTCAAAGTGCCAGAAGCAATAAAATTAATACATCGAGATATGTGTGAAGAGATCGTGGTATGGTCTCAAGTAATCTGGTCATATGTGGTACATTTGACCTAGTGAATATCTCGAAAAAGAAAGATATAAATTTGAAATGAACCTATGTGTTGTCATTCAAGGATCGCTCTCAATATTCTTTACTATAGCAGTTTACGTCGACGTATAAATATCATTAGATCTCCTGAAGAGATAGAAAAAACTGTTGAACTCTTGAAGAGAGAATTTGAGAAGGAAGATTCTAACATGACATAAATTATACTTCAGATTATATTTTAAACACGTATTTGACGGAACATTTATCAATAATTTAAATACGTCCAGAAGATGTTAACACATTGAAATATGGATAAAGTTCATCTTTTGAACATACCCATGGTTGTTCACTCATATATATACATAAACATTTTAATCGCCTCCCAGAAGAGGGCGATGAAGTACTTGGTCCTGCAGTACCAAATTTTAAGTGTGAAATTAGACAGGTAATGTGTTCACATATGGTGATACGACTTTTCTTGGAAGTCGACTAAGCGAGCACGAACAACAACATGGAATCAAGCCGAACTGATAGCATTATACGACAGTGATCGAGAGCGAGCATGGTAGAGATTGATGATCAGTCTCATATAAGGAGCATGCAGTTTGAAAGAAATCAAGAAGAATGNATCAATGGCTTTGGGGTGTGATGGAATAAATCAAAATGGATCTCTAAACTGTCTGCGCTTCTTTAATTAATGAAGTAGCAGTTAGTCAAGCAATGCAACTTTCGACGTTGAGCTGGGGGTCTCTTTGGAAACAGCCTCTCTACTTTCGAGTAGGGGCAAGGTCTGCGTACACACACCCTCCCCAGACCCTACTCTTGTGGGATTTAACTGGGTTGTTGTTGTTGTTGTTGTTATTTTGGTAATAAAAACATGAAAGTCATATTTTGGTAGATTTTCAATGTTTTAGTCCTACTTTAGTCTTTCTCCCAAATATTTTCTGTTTTAATTTTTCAATCAAATATTATCATTTAATCATAAATTATGTGAAAAGTATATTTAATTATAATATAAATTTAATATAATTAGATTCATCTTAGGATATAGGTTTAATATATCAAATTTTTATATCATGTATTTTTTAGATTATGTTTAATTTGTGGTCAAAGAATGTCATTGTTTGCAATAGAGGCTTCAATTCTTGCTGCGCCGGACGAAGAGGAAGGCCCACCGACGAAGACTGTCGAACCTAATCTTGAGGTTGAGGGAGAGGTTCCCAAGAGTACGCAGGAGAAAGTTGATATGGAGGTTGAAATTAAAAAAACTACACAAGAGCAAGAGCATGTTGGTGTAGAGGTTGGACACTATACTTGATTTCCAGATGATTTTGATTTTCCTGTCGGTGAAGTAGATGGCGAAGGTGGGTCAGATGGAACATTTGGCGACGGATCAGACCTGTGTGTCGGGTATGAGTTTGCCTGCAAGGCTGATCTAAAGCGGAAAATGACAGAGGTAGCCATTGCTGGTTGCTTCGAAACGAAGACAGAAAAGAGTGATACAACTCGATATATTCTAAATGTACATTATTTCCCGTACATCCACTTGATTATTCATTTTAGAATAAATGAATACTCATTTTCGATTAATAGAATATTCATTTTCGAGCAATTAAATATAATACTCATTTTTGAGCAATTAAATATTATACTCATTTTCGAGCATAACTGAATTTTAGATAAATGAGTACTCAGTTACTCGAGAATGAATATGTAATTGATCGAAAATGAGTATCTAATTGTGTGTAAATGAGTACTCACTTCTAATGTACGGGAAATACCATACAACCGATTGTACGGTACATATTGCGATCAATGGCAAGGTGTACCAATGATGATGAAGATATGGACTTAAGAATCTTTGTTTTTTGGCAATACAAAGGTCAAAGGATATACGGCATATACATATATCATGTCGACACGTTTTATTATTCAAAGATCAAAAGAGCCTTATGATATGGAATAAGGCATTATTATATCTCTATTTATGTCTCATACATGGGATTCCCGGTGTGGGATTCTAACAAGGGACAGAAACCCCACAAGAACTGGCCACCTTTCTTGCATTTGGGGAGTTGACATACTTCCCAACCTGGGGATCTTTCCTGTACCCGCAGAGACACGGTGTCTGTTCCTTCAGCTTGGCACAACACTCTGGCGTCGGAGACTGGCCTGACGATATGGCTGAGAGGCAGGGGCGCAGCTCTGTCGCAGTGCACTGAGCTGCGTCCGTGACTCGCAGCTGGCCGACCAGCATTGCAGTCACGATCAAGTAGAGCGAGAGGAACGAACCCTCCCTAAGCATTTTTGGGAACTTGGATTGGTTTTGGTAAAAGTTGTGGCTTGTTAATGTTTGGGTGAAGAAGTGGTGGTTTAATTTGGTGTGAGGTGTTGTTGTTGAATTTATAAGCGGGTGGTGGAGAAATTGCGTGGGAAAGTTGTTTCCTTGAAGAGTTAGAATTGCCATATTTAGATACTCATGGATGGGGAGTAGTAGTTGGAATTATATTTAATTTTCCATGCATGGGTGGTTGCATGGTTACGGATGGGGCAACATGTTTTCAATTTAAGGGTATTTTTGGTTAGTTTTGAAAAAATATGATATGATATTGATTTTGAAATCTGAAAGAAGTGATATGGTTTCAAAATTTGAAATGAACTTTTTTTAGAGACTAATGTTATGTTTTAATTAAGGAAAAATTACCCAAAATAATCCCAACTTTACCCGGTCTTTCAAAAATAATCCCACCTTTCACTGTGATGCATAATAATCCCAACTTTATTGAAATTTTCCAGTTTTGGGTCGCCGTTAAGTTTCTAACGGAGGGTTAACGGAAATGCCCGTTTTAGGCAACAAAATGAAAGTTGGGATTATTTTTGATGAATTTTTGTTTTTAAATTTTTTTTGAAATTTTTATTTAAAATTTTTGAATTACTTTCAACCTCAATTCCTTTTTCTTTTTTAAAGATTATTCTTACCTTAGAAAAAAATAGATATAAAAAATAATGAAAATGAGAAAAATAACTAAAACCATACAAAATTAATCAAATAAATAATGTAATGAATAGAAATTAAACAGAAACTGGTAAGAAATAAAATAAATATATACAGAGTGGTGGGTTTTAACATTTTACACATTATACGGAGTCTTAATGTACTACTTCTTCTATCCCAGAGTATTTGTCCACTTTCATTTTTACACACCATCCAATACATTTCTTTAATCCATTTTATTTTGTAATTTGTATATTAAATAATTATAGAAATTATATATTAATAATCTATATGCTAAGACAAATCAAATAAAATCACACATGACTATATTTAGGCTTACACATTGAGAGAATTTGATGAGTCAAAGTGCTTAGATGAACAGTTCCAAAAGTCAAAAGTGGACGAATATAGCGGGACGGAGGGAGTACTTATTTTTTAAAAGAACAAGCCGTCCGGTAAAGTTGGAATTATTTTAGATAATTTTTTCTAAAAAATAAGAAGTGATATGTTAATGCTTTGTATAATGCGTAAAATATTAAACCCACCCGTATATTTTTATTTTACTTTTACCAATTTCAAGTTAGTTTCCATTGATTACCTTATTTGTTTTATTATTTTTGTATCATTTTAGTTACATTTCTCAATTTTTTCATTTTTTATATCTATTATTTTTATTTTTTAAACTAAGACTAATCTTTAAAAAAGGAAAAAGAAATGACGATGGAGGTAGAAAGTAATTTAAAAAATTTAAATGAAAAATTTAAAAAAATAAAAAAAAATGAAAATTCATCAAAAATAATCCCAACTTTCATTTTGTTGCCTAAAATGGGCATTTCCGTTAACCCTCCGTTAGAAACTTAACGGCGATCCAAAACTGACAAATTTCAGTAAAGTTAGGATTATTATGCATCACAGTGAAAGGTGAGATTATTTTTGAAAGATCGGGTAAAGTTGGGATTATTTTAGGTAATTTTTCCTTTAATTAATGATTAGCGGGGGTCGATCATTGGCAACGGGGATGATTGGCGGCAGGGCCGTCTCCGAGAAATTATGGGCCCTGGGCAACAGCGAGAAAATCGGTCATCGTGTCATAATGAAGCAAAATCTATAAATTATATTTTTAATAATAAAAAATTACTCTGTACAATAGTAATAAGAATAATAAAAAGTCAAGTGTGTAGTCTTATTAATCTATAATTACAGACGTTAATAACTAGCCAAAGATTCCAGAAGTTTTTCTAGCATTTTTGAGATCCAATTGATTGATATAGGACTTTTGATGTACTTTTTAAATATATAAATTTTATTTTTAATTCTACACTAATTTTTAAATAAAATGAATTAAAAATAATTACAATCAAACATTATAAACAATAATAGGTGATTTAAATTGAGACGAAAAGTATATAAATAATTAAATAATAAATAAATACTCCCTCCGTCCCCCTGTATTTGTCCACATTTGACTTTTGGAACTGTTCATCTAAGCACATTGACTCATAAAATTCTCTCAATGTGTTAGCCCTAATATAGTCATGTGTGATCTTATTTTATTTGTCTTAACATATAGATTATTAATATATAATTTCTATAATTTTTTAATATACAAATTACAAGATAAAATGGATTAAAGAAGTGCATTGAATGATGTGTAAAAATGAAAATGGACAAATACAGGGGGACGGAGGTAGTATATGTAATACATTTACAAAAAAGTGGAGGCCCATCTACTATTGGGCCTTGTCCAAGAGGCCATCTTGCCCTTGGCTTGAACCGGCCCTGATTGGCGGTGGCGAGGGATTGTCGACGATTGAGCAAGATATTACATATTTACATCCCTATATTGATATCTTCCGAATTCGAGAGGTATCAAAAGTCTTCATTTAATTTGAAAGATTTGTGATATTTGGAAATGTTGTTTTTGAATTCTTTGTATGTCTCGCCAAACACCAAAAAAAATCTGATATGGAGATATATGAAATTTTATATCCCATTAAAAGTACTAAACTTTTTTTGTTAGACCACAGGCATTTCGGATTGGTCTTTGACGAAATCTGACTGATCTTGATTGATCGGATTTGCAGATTAAAGCCGAAAGTCTCCCAGTAGGTGGTCGGGTTTGAACTCATGACCTCAAGGTCACCACAGTTTTGCGGTGCAAACTATGCAATCACCCGTTGGTATAAAAAGTTCTACTCCGTAATTAACTAGTACTATTTGTCCCAATGTATTTTTTGTGAGTTCAACTTTTTCAGATCAAACTGGACAAAGATTTGACTTCAAATCAATAAAAATTGTAATGTGCTTTTGTATAAAAAAATTTTTTTAAGGTTTATCTTGTTGAAAATTTTAATTTTTTATTATATTAATATATAATACGAATTGATTATAATTGATGATTAAATATTATCTAATTTAACTTGAAAAGATTGGGCAAGATGAAGGGCCTGTTTGGGATTAGCTTTAGCGATTAGCGTTAGCGTTTTGAAAAGGCTATCGACGGACAGCATTTAGCGTTAGCGTTTTCAAAGCAATCTGCACCGTTAAAATTTTATCCAAAACGCTAACGCTAATCTATAACGCTATTCCCAAACGGGCCCGAATATACTAGGGTGTAGAGAGTATATATTTAAAACTTACATTAAAAACTTATAGAGTAAATTCTATACAAGGTCCCAGTTATATGTCGTTTTACATATTTATATTAGTCCTTACATATCAAATATATTACTAATTAAGTTTCCAATTATTATATTCATTTCCACGAATGATCCTTTGTTAGCATTTCCGTTAAGAACGTGGATAAAATTGTAAATTCACACTTCTTTCTCTCCTCATTTAAGCTTCCTCCCTCCCCTCACACTCCTTTCCCAAACCCGTCGTTGAGTTTGAAACTTTGAACCCAAAACTGAAATCATCACTCTTCTCTCAATAATTTGTCTAATTGGTGGAACCCAAATTCGAAGCCAGTAACCTGTTACAATTTTTGTACGGATTACAACGGACGGGGAAGATGAACGGCCTCGGAAAATAAAAATAAATAAAATTCTGAATTTATAACTTATTCAGAATATTACAAGATAAACAGAATTGAAAATAAATTTATATATCTTCAAAGTGCCCGCCTACCGTACCGGAAAAACGTGGGCACTCTCCTCCCAGGATAAAACCGTTATCGTGTGTGGAGATTGTACGGACCAACCACACACCAACGAACAAGAACAACGTAGGAACGTTGACGACAAAACAAAAAAAAAACTTTAAGGGAGATGGCCGGAAAATCAAGAGCTCTCTCTAAATATTTGACAAGAAAGTTTTCCCTTTCTTTTCCCTTTCTTTCTCACGTATGGCACACACAAAACACACCACACTAAACAATGGAGAGCCCTTGATATTTATAACTAAGGAATTTTAAAAAGTGTAACTCCCACACCATTAATCCATGGCATTTGTGGCACAATAATGACGTGTTAATGGTGATTAATTAGCCATTAACACGTCCGTTACGCTACGCTCCGTTTAAAATTTGTCCCGAATAATTGGAGATTAATGGCCAGTTAACTCCGTAAAAAGGACTAATTTTAAACAATACGTAAAATTAATAATAGAAGATTGGCTCAGTAAAATTGCAAAAAATTGCAATCCTTACCATATTCTTTTATTAACGGGTTAACTCTGAGAATCAATTTCTCATTCACCCTCTACCATTTTTGGCGTATAAATTATCAAAACATTTATCTCATTTAAGAGAACACACGTCCATTAATTAACGGTTAAAACCG